GTCTCTATACAAAAACGCCACGTGTCTGCATAACAGGCTTCATTTCTGCATAACGGGGCGGATCTCTTTATAACATGTCTGGTCCCTGTATAACAGTCCTTGTCTCTGTATAACTGCCTGTCCTCTGTATAATTGCCATCGGCTCTTTATAGCATGTCTGGTCTCAGTACAAAACGGCTGCACATTGTGTAACTGGCCTCATGTCTGTACAGCAGCACTAGTCTCCGTATGAAAGCTCTGTTCTCTGTATAATAATCATGATCTCCGAGAAAACAAGCCTAGTCTCTGCATAACAGGCCTGATCACTTTATAATAGGCATCGTCTATGTGTAACCTTCCTGATCTCAGTATAAAAGTATAAAAGTCTCGTATATGCATATCGGCTTATATGTATAATAGGCCAGGTATCTGCATAACAGTGCTGGCCTGTCTAAAGCTAGTGTGGGCTCTGTATAACTGATCTGGTTTCTATAGAACAGCACCGGTCTCTGTATGACAAGCCTGGTCTTTATAAAGCACCTTAGTTTCTGAATAACAGTCCTTGTTTCTGTATGGCATGCCTAGTCTATGTACAAGAGGCCTGATATCTGTGTAACAAGCCTTGTCTCTGTGTTACTGCACTGTTCTCTGCATAAAATTCCTGGTCTACGTGTAACAGCCTGATCTCTGTATAACAAGGCTCATATCTGTAAAGCTCACTGGTATTTGTTTGGAAGGCCTTGTCTCTGTATTAAAGGCCTGATTCCTGTAGAACTTGCATAGTCTTTGTATAACAGGTCTCGTCTCTGTACAAAGGGCAGCTCTCTGAAAAACTGGCCTGGACGCTGCATAATTGGTCTGGACTATTTATGGTCTCTATAAAACGAGCCTGTGCCTTTATAAAAGCTGGTTTGTGTATGACTGGTTTGGACTCCGTACCATCTCCGTATAAATGGCCTGATATCTATGTAAGAGCCTGGTCTCTGTATAACCCCTGGAAATTGTACGACAAGTTTGTCTATGTGTAATCCGTCTTGTCTGTGTACAAACTGCAAGTTCTCTATGTTACAGCCTGGTCTCTGCATAACACAGGTCGGGTTATACAGGTCTAGTTTCTGTATAACAGCCTCGTCTCTGCATAGCAGCATGGTCTCTGTATAACAGGCCTGGTCTCTGTATAACAGGCCTGGCCTCTGTATAATAGGCCTGGTCTCTGTATAACAGACCTGGCCTCTGTATAACAGGCCTGGCCTCTTTATAACAAGTCTGATCTGTGTATGAAAGTTCTGGTATCTGTATAACTCCTCTGGTCAATGTACATCAGGCTTGTCTCTGCATAGGAGGCCACGAGGCCACTTAGCTGTACAACAGCTTGGATACTGTGCAACAACCTTTTCTCTATGAAACAGTCTGGTCTATTTATAACAGGCCAAGTGTCTGTATTACCGTCTTGCTCTGTATAAAATGTCTTAAAATGCCAGGTGTTTCCATAACTTGCCTGGTCATGCAACGCTGGCCTGATACCTGTGGAATAGCCAACTCATTTACTTTTTATTCACGTTTGAGTACGCAATTAGTTTATCTTTAAAAAAAAATTCTGTTTAAATTGCGACACGTAATTTCTGCTTGTTGACTTTGGGTGAGCGTAGCTTCAAATGAATCTGCAATAAAATAATAATAATAATAATATCAAAGCATCTGAACGAACGTTCAAAGAGCAAAAAGGATTCTTACAAACCATGGAGCCACATTCATCCGTTAACTGGAACCTACTTGACAGTATATTCTGTGTAACACTTTGAGATGGCGTGGTAATGCTCTATATCGATTACAAGGATTATTTTTATTGCAGCGCACCGCTTGAAATAAAATTCAGGCTGTGAGTTGCCTCATTAAATTATGATTCGTTGTCAACGTTTCAAAAATTACCCGAGTGGCATACATTTGCCTTTACTTAAATAGTTTATATATGTGTTTAAATCGAAAGATCGCTAGATACTTGACATGCTCTCTGAACTTAGATTGTGTTAAAGCGTAAATGACGGTGTTTGTGCAGCAATTCAAAACCTTAAGCAGGTCCGTCACTTCTTCGACAACAAATATTGGGTCTCTGTCACTTAGATAGAAATAACTGTTTAACGTTCGTAGCAATATGAAATGTAAAACATACATTAGCCACAACAGGATGAAGCTGCCTGATATAGCGAAGAGTAAGATGATGGATATTCTTCGGTTCTCCATCTCTACATCAACTCAGAACGGATCTTCGCAAACATTATTTCAGTCAGCGAATAGCGAACATGTGGAACAGGCTCCCGAGAGAAATGGTTGAAGTAGGAAGCGTTGATACTTTGAAACACATATCAGGTAGTTTTATTTTAGGAAATAACACAATGTGATACAGCACACAAGAGTTCGGGACATATGTGCATGTGACCACCTGGAATGTGGAAGGCGAAACATATGGATCTTGATCTTTTTCCATCAAGAATTTCTGATATCATTCTGTTCTCAAAACACATGATGAACCAGGCCGGGCTGTGCTGCCATCAGCAGTGAGTGCCCTGGGATACTGTGCACCCACGGACTTAAGAACCAACAATAGAGACCGTCTTAGAGGCCTGGCTCCAATCCCACATTGTATGCCAAGCGGCAGGTCAAGTCCAGTGAGTATCTCTTCACCTGCCCACAAGGAGGAGAAGGGATTTTACTCAGATCATTGTGGGATGTTACACAGTACAGAAAGGTGTTACAGCAGGTTTATATTTCTTCATTTGAACCCACGGTAACACACAATTAACAACTATATTGCTCAGATACACAGCAGCCGTCAGGAGAGATTTTACAATGTATAATTTATGTGGTGACAATATTCTTGAGTGTTGGTCAAAGGTTGCTTTGATAACAAGGTAAGGAGAGCAATACAAGTTAATAATTATTTCATTAGAACTGGTACTTTTCGTGATTGTGACACAGCTAGAAGCTGTTAACTGACTTACTGGAAATAAGGTGTCGTCTGGTTTATCTCCTATTTTGTCAGAATTTCTCAGCTCGTCCTGATTTATTATGTATCAGCAATAGGAGAAGCTGTTTTGTGGAGCTGCGTCGCTTATACCAAACATGTCACTTTGGGGCCCGGTCAGCTCCAAGAAGAACCCGCTTACCTCCCACACGCAGTGATAAAAGGCACATTCAGAGACAAATTCTTTGTGACAGGCGAGGGGGAGAGTGGAAAGTGAATGGATTAAAGACAAGAATACTGGAGCTGGTAGAAAATTGGCTGAAAGTTCTCCAGTAAATCTGGGGAGAGAATAGGAACTTAGAGTTAGACGAGGAAGGGAGGGGTTGGGGGTTGTAGGAAGCCAGCAGACAGAGAGGTATGAAGTGTGGGGTGGGGGTTGGGAGGGTGTGGTGGTAGTCAAGGAAAAATAGACAATTGAATGTTTGTACTGAGAAAGTAATGTAAAACTGTAATTTACTCAAATATCTTTGTGGATCCTGGTTTATTGCGGAAGGGGGGGTTGGGTAGCGTGGCGGGAGGCTAGATTGTGTGGGGGGAAGGGGAGCTTGTGTGGGGGGCGCTGGGAATATATGTATGGGGACGGGAGATTGTGCGTGCTGAGGGGAGAATGTGAGTTGAGGGAGGAAATTTTGTGGGCTGTGGCGAGATGGTGTGAGGGGAGATTGTGTGCGGAGGGGAGAGATTGTGAGTGCGGGAGCGTTCATGAACAGGGATCGTTGAGGCCGACGTGGGAATGGGGAGATCTTCTGAAAGTTATTAATTAGAAGTCATTAATCAGGAGAGTAAAGGCCCAGGAGGCCCCTTCTTGAGAGGGAATTTCCAAGTGTTCAGGAGAGGAATCAGGTTTATTGCTCACTGTGTCTATTCCTAGTTCCATATTTACTGCGATTCTTATCTCCTCCCTCTGTATACTCAGCCGCATTTGACCTGTTCTTTGGTGAACTTTGGTCCATTTCCACATCACAAATTCCCTTCCTCCAAATCCTGGGCGTTATTAACAATCCTGACTCCACAGGTGAAGCTGTGTGAATCAGACTGGAGTGAACTCTGTAACAGGGCGGGACACACATAGCATCAATGCACTGAGCCTGAAGCAGTTCGGACCAGAGAAACTTCGGATGAACATGGCTTCTAGACATCAGGTCCAGCGTCTGACGGAGGAGCTAAACTGTGCCATTTGTCTGGAATTCTTTAACGATCCTGTTAGTCTGGACTGTGGCCACAACTACTGTCGCTCCTGTATCACACGGAGTTGGAAGAAGCAGGAGGAAAACTCCTGTCCGGAATGTCGCCAAGTTACTGCTGAGAGGAAACTCAACGTTAATTGGGCCTTGGCCATTTTAGTGGAGAAAGCTCGTGAATTCATTCTGGACCCAACACAGATGGCAATTAAACCTCAGTGTGAGAAACACCGGGAGGAACTGAAGTTGTTCTGTGAAACAGACAAGAAATTGATGTGTGTAGTTTGCAGTCATCGGCAGGAACACAGAGGTCACAGCTTGCTGCCGATTGACGAAGCTGCTGAAATCTACAAGGTAACGGTACCCTCACGATGGATTCAATGTGTTTCCACGTCATGTTTCCACGTCAAACAATTTTATGCTGTGCGTTTATTCCAGGATCAAGTGAAGTCCTCCTTAACTTCTCTCACAGAGAGGAAGGAAACTGCTCTACAAGCTGAAGCCAAACAGAGAGAAAAGATTTCACAAGTTAAGGTAAGTTGTATCGGGGCTGATGTCTGGGCTGTCAGTTGGTCTCTGGTAACTGTGTGTACACCCTGTGATGTTTCAGTGTCTCTGTTTACTCTGTGTACACCCTGTGATGTCTCAGTGTCACTGGTTACTTTGTGTACACGGTGTGATATCTCAGTGTCTCTGGTTATTATGTGTAATGGTTGGATGTCTGACATTTGCAGGAACAGGTGAAAAGTCTGCAGACCCACGTCACGGTTGAGTTTGCTAAAATGCACCAGAGTCTGACTGACAGAGAGCAGCTAGTGATGCGAAATCTCAGACAACGAGAGGAGGAGATTTTAAACCAAATGGAGAAAAAGCTGCGAGAGATTCATTGTAAATTAAGTTCTGTTGAACAAGCTCTCTCCGAGTTAAAGACACAGATGGGAAAAGATTCCCTCACCTTCCTGCAGGTAAAGAGATAACATTATAATGTATTTGAGTCACAGTTACATACAATCTGGAGCACACAATCTAATTCTGATTGATCAAGAGATCGGAGATTGAATTGGGATGTGAGAGACTCTTTCCACATGTAATTTGTTGTTGTTGGTGATGCTTCAGTGTGGGATGACATCTTCCTGTGTTTGATTTCATTAGGAAGAAGCTGCTGGCAACAGAAGGTATGAAATGATCTTCAACAATTATTCCAGAATTAAACCCACAAACCAACCACAAGGTGCAGTTTCGCTTTATAATGAGATCGTTTGTTCTTTCAGAGTCAGTGACGTGGGGTTTGATCTGTCGGTGTGTGAGGCTGAGCTGCCGGTGGGGATATACAAAGGGCCTATACAGTACACAGCCTGGAGACACATGATACACGGCATCAGCCCAGGTAAATGTCTCCCATTCTCAACCTGAAGCCGTGTCAATTGCATTAGATTCACTGATACATCCCCCCACACTCTCCCTCAGACACACACACCCCCAGTACACACACACACACCCTCACGCTCACACACAGCGCTCAATCACAGACAACGGTCTCACAAACACAGCTGACACACAAACAACCCGAATGCACAACACCCTCAGTCACGCAACTCACACACTTCCAACCCTCACACATGTCACAGACACAACTCTCACACACTCGCCTCGTTCACAACTCACAAACGCACATGAACAACATACCTCAGACACATAGGTCACACACACCACTCACAAACACCAAACACATTAAGCTTCACACACACACACCTCTCACACACATACACCCCTCAAACTCTCACACCCCTCAAGCACTCATCTCTTACACACACCTCACTCACACTCATCACACACATATCAACCAGGCACAGAACTCGTACAGAGCCCTCACACACACAAATCGGAAAAACTTCTCAAACAATATTACCAATAATAATTGCTTTTGATTTTGCGTTTTTCACATTTTCTCGGCGTCTCAAAGCGCTTTACGGAATAAACTGTAAAGTGAATTGACTGTATATTTTGTGGGTGAAACGCCGCAGCCAATTGCGCAGAGCAGCGTCCCAGAAACAAACCCACAAACAATCTTGGATTCAAGTTAGCAAATTTTTATTGTTTTAACAAGACCATTTGTACTTGGCCACAGGCAGCTCAGCCTCACACAATGACAGATGAAACCCCATAACGAAACCTCACACGCATCACTCAAGTAAACACCTCTCACGTACACACTGCGTACATTGCACAATTCTTTCACACACCTCTTGCACACGCATCACTCATACACACCTCGTACAGACAGCCCTCACACACGCACAACTCACATGCACCAATTATACACTTAACCCTCAAACACACCTCACATGCACCTTTCTCACACAAATATCTCACTCACACTGTCCTCCCACACACACATCACACAGATACCTCACTCAAACACCCGTCAAACACACACCACATGAACCTATTACACACACATCTCTCACATGTAGACTCTCAAACACACCTTGCACAAATCTCCGAAAACCTACTATTCACACACACCAGACAGGCACAAACATCTCACAAACACACATCTCACACACACTTTTCAGACACGCACCACACACACACATCACACGCACACCTCTCACGCACATCGCAAACACCCCACAAAAACACGCCTCATACACACACTCCTCTCAAACACACCTGTCACTCACGCCTCACATACTCTCCTCACACAAATGCCTTTAAACAGAGAACACTCACAACATCCTTCGCACACTGCTCACATACACGCCTCACAAACAAACAACTCACACACACCTGATACACAAACACCTTACACACACCACTCACGCACTCCGCTGACACACAGGCTCCTCACACACATACTCCCCTCACCCATATACATTCAGACGTGAAACTCCCCCGCCCACCCCACCACACACACACACACTAGCACAGACTGTGACCCACTGAGATGGTTGTGTTCCCAGATGTAGAGGTGTTCATACACAGTATGAGCTCCGCAACGTTCCCTCATTCCACTTAGTGATATTTCTCTCTCTCAGCTCCGGCCTCTCTGACTATGGATCCTGACACAGCCCATCCCAACCTCATCCTGTCTGAGGACCTGACCAGCGTGAGACACGGAGAAACACGGCAGCAGCTCCCGGACTCCCCAAAGAGGTTTGATCCCTGTGTCTGTGTCCTGGGGTCTGAGGGCTTCAAATCAGGGAGACATTACTGGGAGGTGCAGTTGGCCAACAAGACAGAGTGGACAGTGGGATTGGCCCGAGAGTCTGTCAACAGGAAAGGAAAGATCACACTGTCAACAAAGATCGGATTCTGGGCTGTGTATCTGAGAAACGGGGATGTATATAAAGCTTGTACCTCACCTCGCACACGCCTGTCCCTGAGAGAGAGACCCGGGAAGCTGGGAGTTTACCTGGACTATGAGCGGGGAGAGGTGGTATTTTACAACGCTGATAACATGTCTCATCTCCACACTTTCACCCAGACTTTCACTGAGAAACTTTATCCTTACTTCAGTCCCGGTTTCAATGACGGCGGCAAAAAGTGTGATCCTCTGAGGATCTGCACGGTGACAGATTAATGAGGAGGAAACCCTCAGCCATGACCTGCAGCACCGGTCTTTGGTACTGGAGGCTTTCATTTGTAATTTCATCCAGAGTAAATCACAGCAAATGAATATTTCCCTCAAATCCACAACAGCCACCAGGAGAGATGGAGAAGCAGTGAATTGCTGTCTGTGTCTGACCGCTCTCCAGCATTAGATGGTGATAACCAGACCCAGGTACTGACGAGCACATTTAATGTCATGGGATTCAATGGGAAATTGTTTATTGACATAAACGCATGGAAATAAATGAAAATGCATTCGCCAATTATAAGGCAACACTGAGCAGAAGCTCCAAGTCGTGATCATCCGTGAAGCAGGATAAATAAATGCAGTTTGTTTGATTGTGGTTGAAAAAGTATGAATTTTCCATTGTATTTTGTTGGGGCTGTAATACCGCGGGCAGCCACTGGGCGATGGTGTTGCATGGCGAACAAACTCCGAATCTCTGTCTGTCCAGCGGCCCGGGACGTCCTCCCGACATGACAGGCTTTTACGCCACGTTATGCTGTTGTTGTCTTTCTTTCTCAAGCACACACACTCTCTCTCTCTCTATCTCGGTCTCACTTCTTCTCACTCAAAGTCTCTCTCACGCTCTCTCACTCTCAATCTCTTTCTCTCTCTCCCTCTCTGACACAATCTCTCTCTCACACACACTTTATTTCCATTGTAGACCGACAGAGTGAGTGTGAGACAGAGACAGTAAAGGAGTGAGAGTCTCTGTGTCAGCGAAGGGCATGGGCGGCCATCTTGGTAAAGGGCGTCGGATGGGGGCCGATTGTAGCGGCCATCTTGGGAAAGGCGATGAGAGCTGATCGTTTCCGTCATGTGTGTGACGTACGCAGTCTGGCGGCGGCCATCTTGGTAAAGGCGGCGGGAGACAGACAGTGACGTCACGTGCCAGACGAAGGGGCACACTCTCGAGCCGGCGAGAAGAGGGGACGGGCGGGAAACCCGGGTAAACCGAGCGGGAGTCGGGGGCGGCGAGGGGCGAGGGTTTCATTGACAAAAGGCGGGAGCGGGAGGCCGCGGACGGGCACCGACCGGACGAGAGATGGTCAAGTCTCCGCCTGGTCACCGGAAGTCAAGGCCACGGGGCGTACATCGCGCGGCGGCGACCACGAGAGGCCTCAGGACCCGCGGCGCCATTTCATATTCCCTCAATAAAGGCCGAGTCTCGCCCTTTCTGACGCCACTTCCGGGTGCCAGCTTTGAAAGCCGCCCATGCCGGGTGAGCAGTGTGACGTCACTTCCTGGCGACGGTTTCAAAATCGCCAGTGTGGGGAAAGTCCCGCCATTATCCTTATGCTGCCTTGTCCTCCCTCCCCTCCCGCTCTCTGGCACCTCAGCGATAAATGCCGGTGCAATTCAGCAGGTGTGGTGACTGGATTTGGGGATGAAACCTCCTCACTCCATGCTCTGACTCCGGTTATGTTAGAGCGGCTGAGGTGAGGCGAGTGTGGTGGGGTTTGAAGGGGCGCTTGTGGTGGTTGAGGGGAAGATGGGGGTTGAGGAGGCGATGAGGTGTTTGGGTGAGGAAGGAGACAGATTATCAGACAAGTAGCAGGTGCAGTGACGGGGTTTTGCGTTGAATCTCCTTTTGTTATGTCAGATTGTGGAGGGGAGTGCGAGTGTTTGGTGGGAGGAGGC